TGCCCACTTTGTGACCCTTAAAAAAAAAAAGTTTCTTTCATTCTTGTTCTCGTTCTCTCTCTCTCACCCTCTCTCTCCACCCCCACCCCCCCCCCCCACCCACCCCAGTCTATAAAGTCCGAGAAATATTTCCTTGCATCCAATGTACGATGGGCTTGGACGCCACGTCAATTTTGAAATACTCTCCTTATCATTGATTTGAACCTACCCCCATCATGCGTGTCGGCATGAGTACTAATCACTGCTCTTCTGCAACTCCCGTACATGCATGCATGTCTCATATATTAACTTTCATCTTTTGCATAACTGAAAATGACTTTCGTGCGAAACTATGATGTAAACTTTTAATTCTGAAATGTACTATTAGGTTTCTATTTGTGTCAAGTAAATATCCAGTTGGTTATCAACGCATGTTTTATCTCCCCAACTGCCTCAGCGGAAGATATCTACAGGTTTTATGTCTCTGCATTGGTCTTATCATCTCCCACGCAAACATGAGTCGTCATCATGCTTATCTTGGCCCTGAAAAAAAAAGGTAGATTATTTTTGCATACAAGTTAACAGTGGAACATGCAGTAGCCCCGTGTCATGTCGCTCGACTCTTGGTCAGAAGGTGTTTAGTTCAAATCCATATCCGGGCGGTTTTCATTTAGCAAATCATACAATAAGAAGGAAAGTGGTGCATGTTGTGGATAACTGAGAGATCCTTTGAAAGATTTGATTTGATTTGATTCAAGAACCGACATCACAGCACTCGGGGCATTCCCATAAGTGCTCCGTCCCCATCTTCAGCAGCCAGCGAAGAGTTCCGATACTAATGATGCCAGTAGCATTCTGATTAAACGTCCGTCTTGCCTTTCCTCTGAGCCTCGAGCATCTGCCAATCGTTATTCCCCGTTGCATCAATCTCACCAAACTGTGTTGATCCATCTGCTCCTCCGAACTATACACGCTCTCCCGCAAGGCACTAACTACGTCTGCCTTATCATGTATTAGTATTCCACCAAGTTATGCAGATTCAGCCAGTCTGTCCACCTGCTCAATTCCCAACACACCGGCGTACCCAGGTGAAAAAATCCAGACAATACTCCTTTGGCAGAAAGGCAAAGGAAGTCAGCGTGAGAAGATTCGTGACAACCTTCTGTCGTGGCGTGGAGGAATGTCAACACATGAAATGATACACACGGTTGCAAATCACACATTGTGGAGAGGCATGCTCGCCCACGCCGGTGGTCAAGGCACTTGACGAAAATAGTGAAATCATCTGTTCTCTTGGGTCGATCTAGCCTACAGAAGGAATTGGGAAATATCATAGGGAGTAAAGACGACCGACTATTTGTTGACTACATAATTCATCGCCGGTCGACTGGTCTATAAAACACGGGTTTACTACTATTTAACGGATGCACCTCTGGCGAAAGAATAATTGGTTACTAAATTTATTTTAACCTATGGGTACAGCGTCAAGATATCTGCTTGACTGACTAACTGCTGCCGCTCCTTTTGGTGATGAGCTACTTTATGATAAAGGGGAAGTAGTGAAGGTTCTCTGGAATTAAATGGAGAGGGCAATGGAACGGAGAATCCAAACTCCTAAACTCTAATTCAAAGGGCCGTGAGTAGAGTAGAGTAGAGTAGAGTAGAGTAGAGTAGAGTAGAGTAGAGTAGAGTAGAGTAGAGTAGAGTAGAGTAGAGTAGAGTAGAGTAGAGTAGAGTAGAGTAGAGTAGAGTAGAGTAGAGTAGAGTAGAGTAGAGTAGAGTAGAGTAGAGTAGAGTAGAGTAGAGTAGAGTAGAGTAGAGTAGAGTAGAGTAGAGTAGAGTAGAGTAGAGTAGAGTAGAGTAGAGTAGAGTAGAGTAGAGTAGAGTAGAGTAGAGTAGAGTAGAGTAGAGTAGTTATTCAACACAGAGAATAAGGCTGGCGTTTAATTAGATTGCAGCCAGTACTACTAGCATTTCAACCTTTTGTTGGCTACTGAAGAAGGGGACAGAGCGCCTGTGCGAGTGTCTCGAGGACAGTATGTCAGTTCTTGATTGATTAATTTATTCATTCATTCAAGACATTTGCTGCGGGACACGGAGATTCAACTGGTATGGCCGATGTACTAAGTTATTGATTCTTAGATCAGTAATTCCTGAATGGATTCTGGGACCCCCTTATGGTGGTGGGGTGGGGGTGTGGGATGGTGTAGAGCTGCTGCCCCCATATAAGCCAACAAGCAAGTCGCAAAAGGGCCCCACGCACACACACACAGAAGGAGGGGGTTTAGCTGAAATCGAATGTGTTGAACCAAAAGGTGCAGATGTCGCTGCCCAGCGTTAAAACACACCAAAACATGCCCACCGCTCTGTAAACCTCCTTCTCCTCCGCCTCCGTCTCCTCCTCCTTCTATTTCTCCTCCTCCTTCTATTTCTCCTCCTCCTTCTCCTCACCCACCTTCTCCTCCTCCTGCTCCTCCGCCGTCGTCGTCTTCTTCTTCTTCTTCTTCTTCTTCTTCTTCTTCTTCTTCTTCTTCTTCTTCTTCTTCTTCTTCTTCTTCTTCTTCTGTAAAGGGCAAACATAGAAAATAAAATCAGTAGTTAATAAACATATAACACTAATGCGACAAAATCGCAGCTAACAACCTTTCCGTATTTCCTTCACTTGTGGCACTAAATATCCCATAATTCGTCCAATTCATCGTTACACTACTTTTTTTTTTTTCCTTCGTTTAAAATGCCAGAGTATTTTTGTTACATTTTTGTGTGAATTTGTCAACAAATACGGGAGCAAACATTTATAACCCAGATAGGTTTAGTGACGCGTACTTAACCTTCGACCCCTCACCGACACAAGAATGACATGCGCAGTTACATCACACAGCAGTTGGTCCTTTCACCGTTTATCACTAATATCTCTGGAATTCTATGCGCATGAGTCTAGTACATTCCAGACAGGACAGTTCCTAGTAAGACGAACGTATAATCAAACCATATTGTAGGCTGCTGGTTCCTAAGAATCCGTCCGATGTTCCAGTATAACTGTACTAAAAGTAAAATCCGCTTTCAGGGATGCGCACCTCCTGCTTCTGCTTCCGCTTCTGCTTCCGCTGCTGTTGCTGCTGCTGGTTCTCCTTCTTCTTCTTCTTCTTCTTCTTCTTCTTCTTCTTCTTCTTCTTCTTCTTCTTCTTCTTCTTCTTCTTCTTCTTCTTCTTTTTCTTCTTCTTCTTCTTCTTCTTCTTCTTCTTCTTCTTCTCTTCTTCTTCTTCTTCTTCTTCTTCTTCTTCTTCTTCTTCTTCTTCTTCTTCTTCTTCTTCTTCTTCTTCTTCTTCTTCTTCTTCTTCGTCTTCTTTGGCATTTGGACCCCTTAAAGTCCACTGCTACAGATATCCACTGATTTCCACTCATCTTGTGATTGGTCCTTTTTTCTCCAGCTGGTGACCCTCAGGTATTTGCACGTCTGCCTGATCTGTATCGTTTTCTTGGTCTTCCTCGTGGTCTTCGACCTTTCAACTCCCTCGTGCGCACTTTGTTTTCCGTCACTGTTATCTACCATTCTCTCCATATACCCCAACCGTTTCAGTCTATTAGCCCACAAGATGCCAGTGATCCGTGGTAATTTAAATTTCGTTGTTGCTTCTCACTCTCCATTCCCCGCTGTCTGTGTCTTTGCTAGGTCCAAAGGATCATTTACAAACCGTTACAATTTTTTTTATAATAAGGCTTTATCTTTTTTAGTTATGGTCAAGAATTTACAGCCACATGAGACAAATGGTCTATCACCAATTTGTATTTTGTAATCGTCGAAAAGCTACAATATTAAAGAACAATTCTTATAGGGAAAAGAACTATAATATTCAAGATGGAAACATCCAAGAAAAGTGGCTCATTCACAATTGCGGAAATTGAACCACATCGGCCATATTTGAGGCAGGAGTTGATTCCTAAAAACTGTGAAACCTTGGAAAACATTATTTAGACAAGTAACGAAACTAACCAAAGCATATCATTCCAAATTAAGAAACGCAAGAAACAATTCCGCAATATGTGGTAAGCAATGCTTAATGATATTTTAACAAATTCCTAACAACAACAAAATCTATTGAATGGAACAGGAAATTACAAGTGCATCTTCACTTAATAACTAAAATCGTCTCCTACTTCTTGTTCCGCAATCTTGGAATGTAGTCTTGTTTCAGAACTTGAGTTTGGCATGCACATCCGTTTTACAGATCTGGTTTACCCCCGTGTGGGTTCCGGGGTCCCATTGTGGGGAAAACAAGAATAGACCCACTGCCTCCCCAAAAGCATGTAGTAAGAGTCGACTAATTGGGGAGCTTCCTTTGAAGTCGGAGTGCATCTGCCGGAGAGGCAAGGAACCGACAGTCTGTATTCAAGAGAATGAGATCTGTAAAACTGATGCACACGCAACACTCAGGTTCTGGAACAGGACTGCAGTTCAGTAGTGGACGAGCAACCAGAACCTTCCGCCAGAGTTTACAGCTGGTGAACGCGAAGAAGAAGAAGATCTGGTTTATTTGTATGCAGTATGTTGTTCTCTTGCCTCTCAGGCTGATCCACACCCGACTTCTAAGGAAACGCCAATAATCACTCGACTTTTACGACATGCATGTAAGGAAACGATGGGTCTGTGTTCCACCCCACAACTGGGTCTCGAAACACAGACAAAGAAACTATAATCTAAGAAACACTGCAGACATTTTTTTTTAATATATCCAGAAACCTTGAGTTGTAAACCCCTTTGACTCAGTGCTATGGATATCTCAACCCTTCGGCCTTGATTCCATGATAGATACCATAAATATGGGAGAAATTTGGTTTTTCTGCCTACCCCTGGGCGTAAACTCAGACCACAAGGAGTTCGTCACCCGGTCGCCGCGCAGCCAGGTTTAACAAACTGAGCTAGCGCGCCGGACTGCGGACAATTGAAATGTATAACATGTTTTCAAGTTGTCCATACCCGCTTTAAAAAAAAACGCTCACACGTTTCTACTTGGTTTCAGTGACAGGGCTGTCCTGTGCACAGTGCAGTGCATCAGACCCCGCCTGCAGGAGCGGAAACATCCGACCCACGGCGTGCCAACGAGGGGAGCGTTACTGCTACGTCATCAATGTCTATATCAATCACTGTAAGTATCTATGTTGAACGGTTAACCTCTACACTCTCATCATCTTCGCCATTGTCTTTTCGTTGACGTAGTCACAGCAATCGTCTTTATCACTGCCGTCACAATAAAATAAATATCATCATCATCACCGTCGTCGTCGTCGTCGTCATCATCACCGTCATCGTCATCATCATCACCGTCGTCGTCATCATGATAATCGTTTTCATCATCGTCATCATCATCGCCGTCGTCGTCATCATCACCGTCATCGTCATCATCACAATCATCATTGTCGTCGTCATCATCACCGTCGTCGTCATCATCACCGTCGTCATCGTCATCACCGTCGTCGTCATCATCACCGTCGTCGTCGTCAAAATCATTATTGTCGTCGTCATCATCATAATCATCATTTTCGTCGTCATTATCACCGTCGTCGTCATCATCATAATCATCATTGTCGTCGTCATCATCCCCGTCGTCTTCGTCATCACCGTCGTCGTCGTCATCATCATCACCGTCGTCATCATCACCGTCGTCATCATCACCGTCGTCATCATCACCGTCGTCGTCGTCACCGTCGTCGTCATCACCGTCGTCGTCGTCACCGTCATCCTCATCATAATCATCATTGTCATCGTCATCATCATCATCGTCGTCATCATCATCATCATCATCACCGTCGTCGTCATCATCATTACCGTCGTCGTCATCATCATCGTCGTCGTCGTCATCATTATGGTCGTCGTCATCATCATTACCGTCGTCGTCATCATCATTACCGTCGTCGTCGTCATCATCATCGTCGTCGTCATCATCATTACCGTCGTCGTCGTCATCATCGTCGTCATCATCATTACTGTCGTCGTCGTCATCATCGTCGTCGTCGTCATCCTCATCACCGTCGTCGTCATCATCACCGTCGTCGTCATCATCATTACCGTCGTCGTCATCATCATCGTCGTCGTCGTAATCATTACCGTCGTCGTCATCATCATCGTCGTCGTCGTCGTCATCATTACCGTCGTCTTCATCATCATTACCGTCGTCGTCGTCATTATCATCATCATCGTCGTCATCATCATCATCATCGTCGTCGTCGTCATCATCATGGTATTACAGTTACTCACATTTCCTTCTTTTCATACGAGGGTGTTAGACTGAGTTGTTGGGGGGCATCGAAATCACGTCATATAACGATTGTCTACCCGTACGCTCGTTTGTCCATCTTTTCCTTAGTCCCTGTTTTGACTTTTGTCTATGTGTCTGTTTTTGTGTCCATGTCTACTCCTGTACCTCCAAATTAGGCCAGATTCTTCATCTGTCCCACATCAGTCTGATTTTTCTCCCATCTTTCTCTCTCATTTTCTCTTTTATCCATACTGCACCCCACCCCACCCACCCCCCCCCCCCCCCCACCATCTTTTTGTCTACCATATAAATATATTTAGTACTCCATAGCAATGAAGACAATCTGTAGGGGACAATATGTATGTGAAAGTGGTAACACTCAATTTGTAAGGTTATTTTGATGTATTGTAGCAGTTTCTACAATATTTATCTCTGGCAGCCTATATGCGCACACGCCTGTAGATGTATACATATTACATAATAAACGTTTGATGCATGATTTCATCTCTGTGTATGATTCTAATAGAATTATATTATCTTCTTGTTTGATTCCCCAAAAAAATCTCTTATCGAGAGGTGTGATTCCAATAGAATTCTCTTATTTTCATGTGTGATTCCAATAGAATTCTCTTCTCCATGTGTTATTCCAAAAGAATTTTCTTATCGGGAGGTGTGATTCCAATAGAATTCTCTTATCTCCATGTGTGATTCTAATAGAATTCTTTTATCTCCATGTGTGATTTCAAAAGAATTCTTTTATCGAGAGGTGTAATTCCAATAGAATTCTCTTATCTCCATGTGTGATTCCAATAGAATTCTCTTATCTCCATATTTAATTTAACTAGCATTCTCTTATCTCCAAGTGTAATTCCTATATAACTCTCTAATCTCCACAGCCCAAGGGACGTACCGTGGCTGTGCCGACAGGGAGAGAACCACCGAATGCATTCCCATCAACATCAGAGACAGATCAGGGACTTCCTGTGTTAACGTCTGCGACTGGGAAGGCTGCAATTCTTCCCACGGAAACGTCCTTTCCATTATACAGAGAAAGAGATGA